ATCATCGCTCTGGTGCGGTGTGCGCAAGTCATCATCATCATCATCATCATCATCGTCAAAGTAATCGCCATCATCATCGTCGGCGTACTTGTTGTCTTCGTCACCAGCCAGCACCTACAGAGGGCAGTGAGCGATGGGGTGTGAAAGCAGCGTTGTGCATGAAGGAGACGGAGACATGGCAGCAGCAACAAGCAGATGAGAACAGTTTGTGTATGTGTGTATGTGTGTGCGTGCGTGTGCGTGTGTGCGTGTGCGTGTGTGCGTGCGTGTGTGTGTGTGTGGCCGTGATGGGAGGGGTGGGCTAAGCAGGTGTACGAGCTGATGTGAGCACACAACACAGCTAGTGCACGGACCGCATTGAGGTAGTCTTCAAATACGCCGGCTTCCTCGGCCCCTTGGTCCACGGCGAGCGTGTCATCATCGAGCGCCTCCACAACATCGGGATCCCAGTCAAGACGCGGCCCGCTGTGTGGCGCTGCGCGTGCAAGCAGACCAACCTCCTCTTCACCAACAGAGGGCAGCACCTCCTCCGGCAGGCTCAGTTTATCGTGCTGCACCACGCCCTGTCGCGCAAGGTACTCGAACTTGGATTGCTCGTCCACAAAGTACGTGTCTGCCCCGGGTGCGCCCGGCTCGCGCAAGTGCTGCAAGTAGTCGTAGTCGTCATCGTAGTAAATGCCGTACATCTCAGGCCGCTCGTTGGAGTTCCTAACAGCATGCATGCGTGCATGCGTGCGTGTGAGGGGTGTGCATGTATAAGTTCATGTGCATGTGAGTGAGTGTGTGCTTGTGTGAGTGAGTGAGTGAGTGTGTGTGTGTGTGTGTGTGTGTGTGTGTGTGTGTGTGTGTGTGTGTGTGTGTGTGTGTGTGTGTGTGTACACACATGTGTGCGGATTGAGACACAAAGTGCTGCACAGAAGTACAGATCTGGCGACCAGTTCGCAGCAACGCATCTGATCAATATGCGCGCCACCCCAAATGTAAGCGCCACTCCAAATGCAAGCACGCCCACGGCCGCCGCCACGTTGGGCCAAGCTCACGTGTCTTGTTGATTATCGTCCTGGTCAGAAGCATGGCCACCCTCATCAAGGTTAACGTGTGTGTTGGAGACGGCGCGGCTGGAGGCGTGCGGGTGTTGCCGACCGAGGCGAGGGCGCCCTTGAGGTCGCTCCTGCTCTTCTTGGATGGGGAGTCCAAGCTCCGGGAGTTGTGTATGGGAGGTTGCAGACGATGCTGCCGAGGGTGCGGATGCCTGACCCGGCTGGCGGGTTTTGCGGGCCTCGCGGCGTTTGCGGCGCGCCGCGTTTCTCGATTCCACCGGCTGCAGGACATACTGTGATGCGGTGGGGTCTGCAGCGCGTGGGTCATGTTGGCTGCGATGCACCAGCGTGAACGTGAACGTGTTTGGATCATTCTTGTCAATGAACTTGCGCCCTTTGCTCTTCTTCCCCATGGTGACGGTGCTCTGTCTGTGTGTGTGTGTGTGTGTGTGTGTGTGTATGCCGTGGCTGTGTGGGTGTCCTTTCTCTTGTTCCACGTGCTGCAGGCAAAATGATTTTGCAAATTTGCAAAGGGCACAATTTATTGCGTTGCACTTTGCCGCAATACAAAGACGAACAAGAAGACACACGCACACGCACACACACACCGAGAGACAGCAAGATTGAACGTGCACATGAAGAACGTGCGTCATAGGTGAACAAGCACCCAACATACAATTGAAAAGCAACGGTCAGCAGCCAGCCACACAACCAACCACAGCATAACTCACTACCTTCAGACACTTCTTTGACAACAAACTAACAACATAAACAACAAAACCAAGTGAGCAGTGTCAAGCGGACAGGTACTGATGCACTGGCTGCGCTCTACTGCTGCTTGTGGTAGGTGACGACGCGCAGGCCCGTCTCCTCTTCGATGCCCAGATACCGCAGCGTCGTGCAGCGCTCCTCATCATCAACGTACTCGACCACAAACAGCAGGCATTCGCTGTCACTGCTGCAGTCACTCACGCACTGATCAACTTCGCCATCAGCGTACGTGCCAATGTGGAACAGCGGGTTGGAGTAAGCGCTGGTGACGAGATCACCGTCACCGGGGACCTGGCAGTCGGCGTTCGCCACCATCTCAATCGTGAAGCCCGCATACTCTGTGCATGCATACGCAGACGTCGTCGTGGTGGTCGTCGTGGTGGTCGAGGTGGTGCCAGGCACAGGATAGCCAGTGCGGGCGTAGCTGGACGAAGTCACGGTCGTCTGCTGCGCGTACCCGAGATCATTCAACCCAATGCACAGGAACGAGTCTCCTTGCGTCTGTAGGTAGAAACCGACACACGCCGTATTCTGCAGGCAGTGGTCGGAGCAAGCAGAGTACGCCGTAATGCTGTCCGTGTCCGAGTACGTCACCTCAAACTCCTGGGCCGACGGCTCAAATGCCGTGCTGAACCGGAAGCCAGGGTTGAAAAAGCCCTCAGACGAAAATGCCAACTCGAACGGGGCATCGCAGGAGTACGGATCCGCACCTGCACATAATCGCAAGATGAAGCGGCATGAGAATCAACCGCAGCTCACACATACAACAGCCCGCAAACAAACACGAACACGAACAGCCGCAAACAAACAGACAAACAACAGCCATCACCACCGCAGCAGCAAGAACACCAAGAGCATCATCGCAGCAGGCAGCAACCTACCGTGATATGCCACATTGATTTCACACACTGATGGGATCTTGGCAGTACAGGAGACGTCGTTCCACTCTCCAGCCAAGGCATTGCGACCGGACAAAGTGTGCATGCTTGTGCAGTCTTCCTTCTGCAGGTAATCATTCGGCTCGCCAGAAGCCCAGTTGGTATAGTTGAAGGAAGAACCATCCACCCACTGGAACGCAGCAGCAGAGTGCTCATCACCCTCTGGCACAAACCCGCCAAGCCACCGCGCCTCAATAACAGGGTTGAGGTTGAAGATGGCATCATTCTCTGCATCGTTGCTGACGCTCGCCAGGTTGCCACCGAGCTCAAGGCAGTTGACCTGTGCCTTGCTAAACGTCATGGGAGTCTCGATGAAGGCAAACACAGAATCGCCAACCTGAGTGGCAACATCAAAGGCTGCAAGTCAAAGAGCATGGACAGGGGGCCAAGAGCACATCGTACGCGTCAGTAGGGCACGTGTCATGACGGACTTTCATCCCAATGTAAGCGGCATAGAGGTAGAAACCGATTCGATCGAAGCAAAGCAAACCAAACCAAAGCAAAGCAAGGCCAAATAAACACCGCAACGTACCGAGGCACTCGAGGTCGCATCCGCCAATCCATACCCCTTGCTCCGTGCACTTGAACATGTTCGAGCCTTTGGTGAAGAAGGGTGCGTCGCAAGACAGCTCACAGGTATCGCCAAGCTTGGTGTTAGAGCACTGGGACGTAATGTTGTCCGGCAGCCCAGACGGCATTGGACCACAGTCAACGGGATCGCATGTCAAAGTGCCTTGCCACTCGCCAGTCTCATCACAAGTAAAGACGCCCTGATCTGCATCGCCATTGGACACATAGCCCGCCCGGCATCCAATTTCGCATACGTCTCCAAAGCGGAAATCAAGACACGCGTCCTGCTGGGCCTCGGGATCAAGGTTAGGCACGAACGGCCCGCAGCTGACGCGCTGGCACGTCGGGCTCTCGCTCCAAGCACCATCAATCTTGCACGTCATTGTGTGCACGCTGCCACCAGTCGACAGCTCATACCCAGGTGGACAAGTGACGTTGGCGGCAGGACACCGGTTGCCGTCAAGAGCACATTCTTCGCTATCGCTGGCAAGTGTCACAAACTCATCAGCAAGCGCATCGGAGATGCTCCCACAAGAGATGTGCACACAGTCAAGCGCCCCCTGCCATGATCCAAACGGACCACAGGTGAATTCAGCAACTGCCGAGTCAGTGGATGACACATTTGATTCGGGTGAGGGCTCGTAGCCCGGGACACAAGTGGCAGAGCAGGTGGATGTGAAAGTCGACGACGCGCAGTTCACACTTGCAAATGCGTCAGAAATGAAATCTGAGAGTGACCCGCAGTCAACAGGCTGGCACGCAAGGTCGCCCTGCCACATGCCGTCAGTGCCACACGTAAACGTCGTCGACGTGCCAGACACAGGCTCATACCCGGCATCGCAGCTCGCCTCGCAGTCGTCGCCAGTGTACACCGTGCTGCCGCTGCACGTCGCACCACCGTTCGTCACAGTGATCGTCGACCCGCAGTCAACAGGCTGGCACGCAAGGTCGCCCTGCCACATGCCATCAGTGCCGCACGTAAACGTCGTCGACGTGCCAGACACAGGCTCATACCCGGCATCGCAGCTCGCCTCGCAGTCGTCGCCACCGAAAGCCGTGTCACCACCACACTCATTTGCGCTGGCGTTCACTGGCAAATCTGCGATTGTCGTGCCACAATCTTTTCTTGTGCAAGAAATTTCGCCGACCCACTCTCCGTCAGCTGTGCACGTGTAGATGCCGTCCTCTGATTCTTGTGTTGTCTCGTACCCTGGTGCACACGCTGCGTGGCAGGGCTGTCCGCCATAGACGGTGCTTGCGGAACAGTCTGCGACGGTGTTGTTTGGCAGGTCTGGCGTCGGACCGCAGTCAACAGGGTTGCACGTCATGCTGGCGGTCCAGAGCCCGTCTGTGCCACACGTAAACGTCGGGTCGCCTTGTAGTTCGAACCCCACATCGCATTGCGCCTCACAAGCCTGTCCCTTGTAGCGGGTGTCAATCAAGCTGGAGCAGTCTGCCGTGGCGTTTGCTGGTAACGTGGTGACAACAGGACCGCAGTCCACCGGCTCGCAGGTTGGCCCACCCACAAGGATGCCCTCGTTGCTGCAGGTGATCAGGACTGGGTTCTGGGGCTCGAAGCCGGCCTCGCACCGCGCATTGCACTGGTCGCCCGATGGCACGGGCAGCACGCAATCCGTTTGCAGCATGGCGTCAAGGCCAAGCCTGGAGGAGCACAAGACTGTGCAAATAACAAGCAAATGATACACAATGCCGAGAACACCCCGTGCAAATATTGCGTGAGGTGTGTTGATGCGCGTGAACTGACTGGTGTGTCGCTGTCACGAGCGCACGATCCAAAACCTTAAATGAGTCACGCAAGCTCCACCTGCACACACACACACATGTGGTGTCACGAGCTTCAACAACGTGATCCACGCGGTTGGTAGGCGCACTTACTTTTGCGTTCGCAGACGATAGACTTGCGCACGGAGCAGTCAGCATCGTTCCAACCAGATGATTGTCCCGGCTTTGTGGGATGCCCCTGGCTCAGACAAAACTCTTCGCCGTTGAAGTTGTTTGGCTCGTTCTTCTGGAAGAGGCAGTCAACGCCGAAGGTGCAATCGTCGTAGAACGTGTCGTTTTCGAAAGCGATGCCTTCGCTGCCATCAACCCAGGTCACCCGCAAGGGGTCCTGTAGCAGGTGTGCACCGAGCCACACGGACTCTGTGAGATCCCGCGTGAGTGAATCGATGAATTCGTTCTCTTGACGTGTGTCGACCACAGGAAGGTCGGCACCGAGGCTCTGGCAGAATGCGCGCGCCTCGTCAAAGTCCACGCTTGTGTCCTTGAAGAGGTATTCTGACCCCTCGTAGTAGTGCCAGCCTGCAAACACAGCCAAAACAAACAATTGCATGTGCATGTGGTGAACATGAGGGGTTCAGGGGAAGTGAAATGCATTGGCACGCGGGAAGTGCGTGTGCGTGTGTGTGTATGTGCGTGCGTGATGGACAGGACGTGTCGAACGCACGCAAAAGAAACAAAACACACACACACAAAAAGTGTGTGCATGACATATTGTGCACTGCGAACGCCAGAGGGGCAGTGGGCCACACGCGCACGAATACACGCGCACGCAAGCTATCTCTCCCTCTCTGTTTGTCATGCATGTGGCAAGCCAAACGCTTTCTCTTGTCTAAGTAATTCCCTCCTCCTCAACATACGCTGTCACTCTTACCGGCAGGGTCAGCGAAGCGATAGACGCCAGTCACGTTAACTGGGTGCCCATCGCAAGGACCGCTCACGCATGTGGCATTCTGAGCTCTGCCGTCTGGGGCCACGATTGTCAGTGAGGCGTGGGCCAGCGAGACATCGTAGAGAGGGTGAGGGCAGCTGCCTGTGACGGCGTCACGGACGCACAGGATGGTGACCACACCCTGTGCCTGTGAGCAATTTCCCTCGGACTGTGCGCTGATGGTTGTCAGGCCAAAGTCCTCAACAGTGACTTGGGCGAAACCGGTGAGGCAGCAATCGCTGCTTGGATCGCAGGGGGTGCTGGCGATGGTGTGTGAAGCAAGGGCGAAAAGCCCGCCAAAGAGGACGGCAATCTTCGCCGTCAACTTCATGGCCGAATGTCTGCCGGCTGGTCGCGAGCTGTTGCTGTGGTACTCCGAACGAGAGGCGCGTACTCGGGGCGCCAATCGAGGCGGTGTGGTGCGTGAGATGCTGTTCCTGTGCTCACTCACTTGCAGCCAACAGCCGGTGCGCTTCCTTCCAGCACGTCAATGCTGTGTGTGTGTGTGTGAGTGTGTGTGTGTGTGAGTGTGTGTGTGTGTGTCTGCTCTGTCTGTCTGTCTGTGTGTGTGTGTATGTAATGGTTGGCCCGTTGATCAACAGACCAGACAAACGAGGCGTTATCAATGTGAACTGAAGGTTTAAGGGGGACACTGTCTGACATACATTGATGCAAAAGTTCAGGCGAGCGCCACCCCCACAGAAAGCTGTGGGCAACTTTCGCGGATTCCACGCCAAGGCAAATCTGACGTTGGACAAGGTGAATTTTGACCAGAGATCAAGCAAAAGAAGTGACGACGATGAGCGACGACACGTTTGTGACAGAGCCAGAGCTTGCCTCGTTGCTGTCGAGCATCAAGCACTTTGTTCCGCTGATTCCAGACGAAGTTGTGAAGCAGTGCCTGGCGACAGCCGGAGTGGAAACCGACGACGAGAATGTGTAGGTGTCCATGTTTTGTGTCTGTCTGTGCCTGCGAGAGAGACCTTGTGTCGTTGTGAGGGTGGGTGTGCATAAGTATGCATGGGTGCCTGTGTGTGTTGTGTTGCTGTGTGTGTCTGTGTGTGTCTGTGTCTGTGTCTGTGAGAGAGACCTTGTGTCGTGGTGTGCACAAGTTTGCTTGGGTGAAAGCGTCTGTGGTTCTGTTGATCTTCCGCCCCCGACGCTTGCTGCCCCTCTCTGATTTTCTTCCCGAGTGGCAACACACGCACACATCCTCGGAGATGCTCTTATTCTGCGAGGTTGTTTGCTACCGTGCATCGCAGCACCCCCGTAGTCACCCCACCCTCTGCTCTTTCTGCTCACCCCCTCTCCTCACTTGCTTCCAAATTCAACCTAATGGTTGCTGGTCTCGCTTTTTTTTTTTTTGATGGTTGACGTGATGACAGGATCAGACTAGTGTCGCTGGCAGCCCAGAAGTTCGTCTCGGATGTGGCCCGTGACGCGTATCGGTACAACCAGCACCGCCTCAACGATGCCAAGAAGAAGACAGTTGTAAAGGTGTGTGGTGTGTGTGTGTGCTGTGTTGCGTGTGTGTGCTGCGTTGCGTGTGCTCTGTGTGTGTTTGTGTGTGTGTGTGTGTGTGTGCTCTGTGTGTGTGTGTGTGTGCGTGTGTGTGGGGTGTGTGTGCGTGTGTGGGGGTGTGTGTGTGAATTTGCTTGTTCTTTGCATTGCTGGCGTGTGTTCCACATCCACAACCACTGCATTGTGAGCGTGTCGTTTGACACTCACAGCACCATCATGTATGGCGCCAGAGTGACCTCGTATAGCCGTGCTTGGTTCGGTTTGCTCACCCTGTGCTTGTCATTTCATTGTCATGGCTGTGCATCGGCTCTTCGTTATTCAGGATCGAGAGAACACGCTGACAATGGAGGACCTGAGCCACGCGTTAACAGACCACAACATGACAGTAGTCAAACCCCAGTACTATCTTTGACCCCCTCAACCGAACAGTTGTGTTGTGTGTATGTCGTGCCGTGTCGGTGCTGGGTGTTCTCATGTGTGTGTGTGTGTGTGTGTGTGTGTGTGTGTGTTGTGTGTGTGTGTGTGCTCAGGAAGCACTCAAAACAGGTTTATCCTTGTTGTTTCCTTCCATACATGGTGGTCTGCAGTTGGGCTTTGGTTATTTGAGCTTGAGTGAACGAATCAATACATCCCCCTTCCATGACATGACCCGAACCGCCACGATGGAATGGTGGTGATAGAGCACACACGCGCACACACACACACACATACACACGCACACACGCACACACACATACACACACACATACACATACACACACGCATACACACACAGCCTGCTTGCTTGCTTCCTTGCTTGACTATTTCTAGTTACCGGGGTACCAACCCGACCCGCTGCTTGTGCTGCTCCCGCATCTTTGCCGAGTCCTCCATCTCCCTCAGGCGCTCCTCTCGCGCGCGCCTCTTGTTCTCCTCCATCTGCTGCTGCCTCAGTGCCTGAAACTCCTCCACCAGTCGTCGCTTCTCCTCCCGCTCCTCCTCAAGCTTCTGCTCCCGCATCTTTCGCTCCTTCTCCTTTTCCTCCTTCTCCTCCATCCTGCGCTGCTCGTTTGCCTTCTGCTGCCGTCGCAGCTCTGCCAGCCGCATCTCCTCCTTCATCAGCCGCACGCGTTCCGCCTCCTCCTTCTGCTTCTGTGTGCGCTCTTCGAGTTCCCGCCGCCGCTCGTCCCGCCGCCGCTCCTCCTCGTCCCGCTGCTGCCGTCCTCGCTCAAGCATCTCCGCCACAAGCTTCTGCTTCTCCTGCATGAGCGCCAACCGCGCCTCCCGCTCCTCTGCATCCTTCTGCAGCTTGGCCTCCTGCCGCAGCCGCACGACGGCCCGGTTCCGCGTGTGCTCTGCGCGCGCCTTGCGGTCCGCAAGCTCTCGCTCAAAGAGCTGCGCCCGCAGGCGTGCCACGCTATCCGGCATCCCTTCCTTCACCAGCTCGGACACCTTCTCCTTTGCCCGCGCCGCGCGTGCTTCTGCAGAGTCGTCGTAGTCGAAGCTCAGCCTGGGGATCTCGTAGCCCATGTCGATGAGCTCCTCCACGCCCTTCAGTTTGGGCGGCGGGTAGTCCTTGTTGCGGGCGATGTTGTACTTCTCCAATGGGTCATCCAAGTCTTGGGCCTCGGCGGTGGGCTCCATTTCGCTCGTAGCAGCAGATGTTTCGGCGCGCGTACCTCGGTCGTCAGCCCCGTTGGTGGCCGTGGCTGTTTCTGCATCTGCGTTTCTTTCTCCTTGCCTGTAGTCGGCTGCGTCACCCGTTAGGCTCAGGTCCATGGGAAGCTCGCCCTCCGCCGCCAGCTTAGCATAACTGCCTGCGCTGCTGCTGGTGCTGGTTTTGCGTCTTGGGCTCGCGGCGTGGGATGGCCGCGCCTTGGTGACAACCGTTGGCGCGCGTGTGGGAGCTGCTAGTGTATGTGTCTGTTCTTGCGTGATGCTCTCGATGGCTCTGAGGTCACGTTGCGCAGTGGTGCTTGAGTGCATGAGCGAGAACATTCCCAGAATCAGGAAGATGCTGCCGAGCAGCACCAGCGCAAGCCTCAAACCTCCCTTTGTGGAAGACGAAGACGTGTGCGTGATGCGTGTGCGTGAGTTGACGTGCGTGAACGGAGGCGCGCGCGCGCGCGCGCGTGTGTGTGTGTAGCTGGTGTGTTGTGTGAATTGCGCGCGCAACCACAGCAAACAGACAAACTCATCCTTAGCCAACGCCTCTGTTCTCCCGTCCATGGAGCCATTGAAGCAGTGTTGTTGTGTGACGGGCTGAAGCCACCCCTTCACTCTGTCACTTACCGCAGCCATGACGACTCAAGCTCGCTAAAAGACCACGCTTGCGCGTCTGTAAGGTCCTGTATAGTGGTTGTGTGTGTGTGTGTGTGTGTGTGTGTGTGTGTGTGTGTGTGTGTGTGTGTGTGTGTGTGTGTGTGTGTGTGTGTGTGTGTGTGTGTGTG